CATGAAGATGAGAGTGAAGCCTGTTCAAGTGGCTGCGAGGAAGACCAAGATTGAGCGGATGATGACCACCACAGCAGCGACTACAATAGTGAGAAGCAACTGGAGATTCAATATGGAGTAAATCTTGCGAAAGAATGTCCACCGGAGCTCCGACGACTCCAATATCGTTGGGTAGAGAAGACTCAAGAAGTATCGAACTAGATATGATGTAGTGAAGTCCAGATCTAAGGCAACGGAGTCCAATGACATGGATAAGGGTAGCGAGTCCAGATCTGAGTCATCATCATCATCAAAGAAAGAGACAGATGCGAGAGTGAGTGAGAGAGAGAGAGAGATCGAAAGTGCCAAACTATAACAGCGCTTCAATCGTGGCCCACCAGGAACATCTGGTCCAAGCCCAGGGCATCGAGGAGTGCTAGGAGATTGCTGACAATATGAAAAACAATGTAGCTGGCGGCAGAAGGCAGCGCGTCGATGTTTCCATAGCTGCGGAGGTCGAGGGCGATGATGTGATTACTATGGGAAAGAGAAAGATCATCTGGTGGCGCCACGTGTACCAGAGCTCAGGGAAGCCGTAGAGAAAGAGATCACGACGATCTCGCTGTTGATGTCGTGGTGCTTCGATTGGTGACGAATACATCCATTAAATGAGAGAGAGAGAGATTTGATTTGGTTCGGTTCGATTCGATTCACGTGTATACTATATATATATATGGGTAGTTTAGTCATTTGGGAGAGCTTGTCTTTATAGATAAAATATTTTAGAGTATGAACTTTTAGGTAAAAAAAAAATTCAAAATTGAATTTATGGACTAAGTGCCCACAAAAAACTAAGAGGTGCATTAACAACAAATGTATGATCTGTTAAGTAGTATGTTGCATATTTCAGATTGATTTGAGAAATAGATTTTTAGATAAAATATGAGGGGGAAAATTAAGTGTTTGAATTTATTTATTTATTTTTTACATTTTATAAATAAATAAAAAAGTGCAAAAATTAAATGAATATAAATGAATCTTTCACTTTTTTGTATAATTTTTTTTAATTTTTTAGCTATATTAACTAATTGCCAAACACACCATTGACCAAGACCGAATAATTTTTATTGTGGCACCAAAAAGATCATCTTGTTTCTTTGGGTATTTTTAGTAAGGGTCTAACTTGGCCCATTTTAGTCTGATTTTAGAGGTATAATTTTGGCCCGGCCCATGTTGGGCCTTGCGGGCTCCAGCCAAAAATCGGGCTGGGCTGGTCCACGGGTCATAAAACTAGGCCCAAGCCCAGGGGTATTCGGGCTTTGGGCGGGCCAGTGGGCCGGGCCCTTGGGCTTGGGCCTGGGCTCGGGCTTTGGGCGGGCCAAAACAATTTTTTAATTTTTTAAAAAATTTTTCCACCAAAATTTTATTATTTTCCATTAAAAATAACACTAGGCCTCGGGTGGGCTAGGCTTTTGGGCGAGCCTTGAGCGGGTCGATGGGTCGGGCCAAGCAACTTGAGCCTCAAAACGATGGCCCAGGCCCGGGCCTAAACGGACCGAGCCCATCTCGGGCTGCAAGCGGGCTTCGGGCCGCCTGCGGCCCACGGGCCAAAATTACACCCATATCTGATTTCAATCTTTAGTATATTTTGAGTAGAATATAATAAATAAATTAAATTAAATTTATCAGATATAGGTAGCCAAATGTGGAGAAATGTCAGGTGTAGTAACCAGGTCAGATATAAACATACTATTTGATAAATTGGTCACGCATCAAATAATGTGTCACAGTAGCATCAAATTCAAAACATGAAAGCACATCTAAAGAATGAGAAATTATTCAATGTTCTTAAAATAATGTTTCATTCTATTTATAGATTGACACTTAATATTTTGTCTCATAAAACTCTAACACAAAAGTTGTGGATCTTATGATTTAAACTAATAATTATTCATTTGGAGCACCACTTACACTTACTCCAAGAGTATTAAATAATTTCTCAAAAAGAAGGGGTGGGATCAAGCCCAAAACAAATGGATTGAGTCGGAACTTTTAGGTTTCGTTTGGCACAGGCTAAATTAAAGATAAAATATACTAATTTAGTCAATAAGACAAAATATCATATTCAAATCATAATCATTTCATTTTTTTTCTCACAACTATCAAATCAACTATTAAAAAAAATTAAAATTTGTCTCAAACATAACTTTTTTAAACAGATTAAAATAGTTAAAAATTCAAAAAATACAAGTTAAAAAAAGTTCATTTCAAATGAAGGCTTTAGTGGGCCCATAGTGTAAGACAAAAACAAGCTAGGCCCATAAATGGACCTTTTATTTTGCTGTTTTCAGCAAAATAACTGGACCGGTTTAGTTAGCTTCTTCAACTCGCTTCCGGCCCAAACCATTACGAACCCACCCATTTGCCCCAATTTTAAAATCTCAATCTAAACCATCCGGCCCACAAACTATTCAATGGAAAAAATGAATAAAAATTGAAAATTTAGAAGAGTACAACGTTGTTTGGTTTTAAAGTTTTAAATATAATTTTTAAATTTTTTATTTTTGTTTTTCGTTATTTTTGGTATATTTTTTTTCAAATTTTAATTTTAATGTTATGTTATGTTATTTTATTTTTTTTACTTTTTATATGTACCTAATATAGTTATTTGAAATACAAAATATTTATGAATTTTGTTTTAGACCAAGTGGAACTAAAATGTAAATAATAATAACATATTTTAAAAAATCAATAAAATCAAAAAAAAATATGAAAAATAAAGTATTCAGAAACAACTTTTTAAAATTCAAAATCAAACAGAATTACGAGAGGCTTAAAAAAGAGATGCCAATATTATACCATTGTTGGCCATCTCTTATCTTCCAATTCCAGCAAAAATATTACACCTTCCTCAACAATATTGGCACCCCATGTTTTGTAAGCCTCTCATGACTTTGTTTGGACGATTATCCATAAATTTGAGTTTGGAAGATCCCTTAAAACCATAACACAATTTTATGGTAAAATTTGAATTTGAGCCAGCTTCTTCAACTCTTATCGGGCCCAAATCAATTCAAACACGCCCAATTGCCACATGTAAAATCAATCTAAAGCATTTGGCCCACAAACTATTGGGTCACACTCACACATAACTTGGCAATCAGACCCCGTAGTTGATGGTCCAGCATTAGAAATCAGGTCAAAAACAAATAAAATTAAATTTTACTTTTCTTCCTTTTTATTTTTCATATTTCCATAAATAAAATTAATAAAAAAGTTCACAAATCCATTGTTTTCATTTTTTTGAAAACGTTTTTAAAATTTCAAAAAATAACTTTTTATATTTCCTAAAAAGTGAGTTGTTTTTTAGAAGAAATAATTTTTAGAAATTATTCTCCTAATAAATTTTTCTCTATTTTTAAAAAAATAAAAAAAAATCAAGCATTGCCCATTGCCCATGCCTCATTAAATGTACAATTATGGTTTTAGTGATTTTGTTTAAAAATCAAGTAAAGAGTCCGCCAGTCTATACGGATAAGGTATATGCCATGTAGTATTTTTTATTATTGTGATTGGTTTTGACAATATAGTTTATTATATTTATGCTAGATATTTGAGAAATAATAGAGACATATATATTTGTGATTAGTTAAAGGTAATGCCACATGATATCCTACTGACATACAAAAATTTCTCAAAGTAAATCCATAAAACGTTTTAAAATATATATATGTTTAAAATATAAAGAAAATTGAAAAAATAAGTGCTTTTTCTTGTCACTTCACTAACCAAACTAGTTTTCAATTTTTTGAATAAAAAAACAAAAAAGAAATTTATGACTAAATCAAACTATGCCACAATGCAAATGTTATTTTAAATTTGTTTTCTGGATAACTAGTTTTCATTTTTTTTAATTTATATGTAGATTTTAGATAGATTGTTCTACGCTAAATGGACCGGAAAAGTAAAAAAATTTCACAAAAATTTGAAAAATAAAATCACTAAAATAAAAAAATTCAAAAAATATATGATTTTTTTGGTTAGTTACCAAACAATGGGTAATTGTAATTTAAGCTGCCTTTTCTTTCTTTCTTTTGTAAAAAGGATGAAATTTCACAGTTCACCTATGACGATGTATTTTATCTAGGAGTAGTTTCACAATCTGAATGACATATTAAAAACATCTCCATTAGTTGAATAGGTAAAAAGAGAGCTAGTTAATATTTTTGATTCCAATCCCGATAAGAAGTTTCATAAATTGAACTATTTTTATAACATACTCTTTAAAGTGAAAGTGAAATTCGTCCTTTGTGTTTTTTTTTTTTTTACAGCAAAAATCTCTCTATCTCCGGGCCCTATTTTTGCCTCATACAGCTCGGGATTAGGCTTTCTCTTATGCCTCTCTATAATTTTTTTGTAAAAGTGTCCGCTCTGCCACATTTCTTTTTTGACGATCCCTATGGTCTTTCCTTGTCCTTCTGGGCAAGTACTGCGGAGCCGGGACTCAAATGCGTCTGGAGTCGCCAAGTGAGACATTAGGTTCACGAACCGGAGACCTATCTCCACAGAAAGCTCCTCAATTTGACCCGGTCCGTCACGCTTTGGACATCGCCACCGGGATTGTTGAGACCCCACAAAAACGGCTCTCCGGACCCAACAGCCAACTCAAGGAAAGCTAAAGCTCATTGAAAATGAAGAAAGTGTTTGGTCAACTTCAAGCTAGCTAGATACGAGAATAAGGGGTACAGATAAATATAGTGTTAAAATGTTTTATTGGAGCAACGTTGCTCCACTAATAGAATGTAAAAATTTTCAAATTTTCTCACAAAATGTCAAGTCAAAATGTTATATATGAGTCTCTGGAAGAAAAATATATTTACAAAGATTTTAGCTATAAGTAAACTTTGTGTTATATTTTTCACCATATTCACTTATAGATAATATATAGCAAGCCATATCCCTTGTCAATGGAGTGAAAATTTGAAAGTTTAAAGCAAAATATAGCAATAGTAAACCATATAAGACACCATTCAAGAAGCTCTAAGTTATATATTATGCATTGCCACCACTAGAAATTAATACAAGGCCTGACTCCAGGCAAAGGTGCACATACACAATACTGTTTTGCTGCCAAGACCCAACAACAGGAAAGTGAAACAAACCATGAGGAAGAACACCTGGGTAGCTCCATTGGCTGTATTGCCATTATTGCGCGCGCGCGCGCGCGCGCACACACACACACATATATATATATATATTTAATTTATCTATTGATTCAATACATAACTTAAATTGAAGCATAACCCAAATTGAAGCACCAGATGTTTCAACCCAAAGAAAACATGATCAACGAGAACTAACATCACCTGATGTGCTCAAGTGAGTCTTTGGTTTGCAAAGCCATAAAGCTTCCTTGCAGATGCCAACCAACAATATGGGAATTGATATGAAGAACAGCACCAGAGCTCCATTCGGCATGATTGCATGTAATGAGAGAATATAACAACCAAATAGGGCTAGAATTAAGCTATGAGGCAACGGCTTTAGTGGGAATTCATGGAGGAGGTATGTAATAACACCCACAGATGCAATGAACACCAGGGAATTGCACGAGATGATCAAGCTACGCATGATTGAATGTTGTTCATAGCCCAATTTGGAAGTGTTGCCAAGGAAGTGAAAAGGTACTTGGAAGGTTGTTGCTGCGATCAGTGTGGCTATCAGTAGCAAACCAGTTCTGAATTGAACAGAGGGCTCAACAATGCTTCCATTGGATAACCAACTGAGCAACCCTCTATGACTATAATCATCATCGGGCTCAATTATTTGTATGGCAAAATCCCTTGAGCTGTCGGGCTCAATTATTTGTATGGCAAAATCCCTTGAGCTGTCGGGCTCAATTATTTGTATGGCAAAATCCCTTGAGCTGTTGGACAACCCTCTAGGACTACAATTATCATTGTGCTTGATTTTTTCTTCGGTCAAACCCCTTGAGCCATTGGACAACCCTCTAGGACTACAACAATCATTTTGCTTGATTTTTTCTTCCGTCAAATAGCAAGCACCGTTGGACAACCCCTTCTGACTATAATTACCAGTGTGCTTGATTTTGTGTTTGGTTAAATCCCAGGTTATCATAGGTCTAGGTTCCCAACGGATTCCGAGAAAACTTAAATAAGATAGGTCATAACAGATATCTATAGCCACAGAACCACCAGACTTCAAGGGAAGAAATACTCTCAAAGCCTGCAATTACATTTAAGTGTGAGTTCCTCAGTTTGTGAGAGCACAGACTATAATATGAGAAACAACATGAAAATGATGGAAAGCATAGCAAACAGGCGGACTGTCTAATTTGTTTTCAATCTTTCCACTGTTTCTAAGAGTGTTTAATTTGACGGAAAATGTTTTTATTTGAACCAATTTTTTTTCATGTTTTACAGGTATAACTTTATCAATCTTATTAATTTCTGCTGCTTGGCTGATACCTTAAAACAAATTCAAGGGGGAAAAAAAAAAAAAAACACACACACACACACACACAAATAATTGACCAAAAAAGAGAAGAAAAAATAAATAAATAAAGAGAACTTTCCGAGAACCTGTAAAGCCAGAAACATTTTATTTAAAATTCAAGAGTCTCATAAATTCAATCCTATTAACCAAAAATTTCCAACAAAAAAGAAAATTCTACTCCACACAACAAAATCATAGTAGCTGTGTCATTGACACATTTTATGGAATACTTGATGGACAAGACAACTATAAGCCAAGCTTGCACCTTCCAATTGTACTGAAGCTGGAAAAAATAAGAACACCACAAACGGCAGCAAACTAATACTAAAATTTTGAAGGAAAAATTGATGAAAGAGGGAATCGATGCATAGGGTCCAGTGATTTGATGAAACGTTCTCCAATAGACCAAGATCCAATTTTGGATTTTGGTGATAAAATTATCAAGTCATTTCTGTGCAGAACAGAGAGAGTATTCATTGAGTGAGTGGGTAAGTGTATTCATTGATTTTTCTGGCGAAAATAGCCACCGCAATGGCTTTAGGGGGAGGAAATAAGGGTTGTTGGTCTTTGAATATGCAGATCGAGTAATTATAATAATTAGTATTTCCAGAAAATACATAGAACTAAATGATCCATAATATTTGTCTGATTCGGAGCATTGGTTTGTCTGATGGCTGTTTCGAGAAGGAGAAGAAGGAGAGAAAACAAGAAAAATAATTACCCGGAGATTTATATATATAAACAAGATAATTTACCTGGAATTGTTTGGAGAATTGAACAACAGTTTTTCTCGTATAATCCTTGAAATCAAGCACATGGAGGAAGTCAGGCGTTTCTTCGGTAACGCATTTTAACAAGCGCCTAACAACGTCGATCTGGTTATTCTTCACAGCCACGTGAAGACAAGTGTCCCCTGTTTTGTCAGTGACCTCGTTCACAGACTCAGGGCAATATCTGAGAATCAGATTTATTAAGTCTACTTTGCCGTTCTCCGCAGCAATATGGAGAGCCGTCCTCCCAAACCCGTCCTTCGCGAAACACAATTTCCTGTTCCTTCGAATCAACCCCTCCACCGTTTCCAAATCCCCCAGCTTGCAAGCCAGGAGCAAATCGGCAATTTTATAATTCCATATCAAAAGCCCTTTTAATTCCTCTTCGCAATAATTTGCAGGTTCATCGGTTGTTTGTGTTACGTAATTCTGAGATTTAAACAAGTAAACATGCGTCAAAGAGAAGAGAAATAGTTATCTGGAGATGTTTTTTTTTATTTTATTTTATACGGTAATGAATTAAATACCTGGATTAATTCCTGACAAGTTTTTCCTCTATAATCCTTGAAATCAAGCACATGGAAGAAGTCAGGCCTTTCTCCAGCGATCCAATTTAGCACGCACAGAACAACGTCGATCTGGTTATGCTTGACGGCCACGTGAAGACAAGTCTCCATCGTCGTTGCAGTGACCTCTTCCACAGACTCAGGGCAATATCTGAGAATCAGATTTATAACACCTACTTTTCCATTCTCCGCTGCAATATGGAGAGCGGTATTCCCATAACAATTCTTTCTCAAACACAAGTTCCTGTTCCAGTGAATCAAATTCTCCACGCATTGCAAATCCCCCTTCTCGCAAGCCAGATGCAAATTACTTATACTTGGCGCTTTTGAAAAGCGATCTATCCAATCACAAATTTCATCGTGAAATCTATATCCCTGATAATTTGCAGATTCATCCATCTTCATTTCGTCAGGCGACACCCTAGCGAACATTTCCGGTAGTGTAAACAAAAGTAAACCACTCACCTTGCGTCAAACAAGCAAGTTGCCTAGAGATTTCTATTCTTTTATTTAACTCACAGGGAATTTTCACGCTGACACTTGAGGTTTATCCTTCATCTTTTAAAAATTACATTTCTTCCTCAAAGTTAAAAGTTTATTACAATTTAATACTTCTATTACTGAATCGTTATCCAAAAAAATTAATATAAGAAATTAATTTTTTAAAATACTTATTTTTCTCTTATTAAATTTTTTTAAAGAAAATCTGTAAGGAATTATAAAAATTTAGTTAATACATATATGTACGGGGAGCAAATATTCCGGCAAGCCCGTATTCCTTTCTTCCGAGCTCCGTCGATGTCCGATCACCTGCGAGCAAGTAACGGTGAGCTACCCGGCGGTGTGTGGCCGGAAAAACCCTCCGACGATCAAGTTAGCACACACCTTAGGATAGAGAGAAAGAGGGAGAGAGGAGTTTAAGTGTAAGAAATTCCTTACAAAGTGGCCATGGAACACCAAAGAAGGGGAGCTAGGTCCGCTCCGCGACTTCCTTCTTGGCGGACAAGATCAGCTCGGCCAAGGAACTCCAAAGAAGGGGAGCTAGGTCCGCTTCGCGACTTCCTTCTTTCTTGGCGAGCAATATTAGCTCGGCTGAAACTTCGGAGTTAAACAAATCATCAACTCGCCAGCCAGAGTAAAACATCTCGGCTGGAACCTCGCAGTTGAGCAAATCATCAACTCTTCAGCCGGAGTAAATCATCTCGGCTGGACCCTCGGAGTTGAGCAAATCATCAACCCCCGTCAGCTAGAGTAAAACATCTCGGCTGGAACCTCGCAGTTGAACAAATCATCAACTCTTCAGCCGGAGTAAATCATCTCGGCTGGATCCTTGGAGTTGAGCAAATCATCAACCCCCGTCAGCCAGAGTAAAACATCTTGGCTGGAACCTCGGAGTTGAACAAATCATCAACTCTTCAGCCGGAGTAAATCATCTCGGCTGGAACCTGGCAGTTGAGCAAATCATCAACTCTTCAGCCGAAGTAAATCATCTCGGTTGGACCCTCGGAGTTGAGCAAATCATCAACCCGTCAGCCAGAGTAAAACATCTTGGCTGGAACCTCGCAGTTGAACAAATCATCAACTCGTCAGCCGGAGTAAATCATCTCGGCTGGACCCTCGGAGTTGAGCAAATCATCAACCCCCGTCAGCTAGAGTAAAACATCTCGGCTGGAACCTCGCAGTTGAACAAATCACCAACTCTTCAGCCGGAGTAAATCATCTCGGCTGGATCCTTGGAGTTGAGCAAATCATCAACCCGTCAGCCAGAGTAAAACATCTCGGCTGGAACCTCGCAGTTGAACAACTCATCAACTCGCCAACCGGAGTAAAACATCTCGGCTGGAACCTCGGAGTTGAACAAATCATCAACTCTTCAGCCGGAGTAAATCATCTCGGCTGGAACAGGAGAGTAGGCCCCTCATCCACTATTATTTCGGACACAACAAAGCTCTTCAGCAAAAGTAATTCACTTCTATTACATTGACAAAAAGAGTATTTCCATTCAGAAGTGTAGGGGAAACAAGTCCCTCAAAAAATTACATAAGGCCGCATTCCATGGCCGAGGTACGCCTTTGCCATCCAAATCTTCTAAGTGGTATGCCCCCTTGCCCGGTTATCTTGTACGGCTCTTCCTAGTTTGCCCCTAGCTTGCCTTCACCCGGCACTAGTGCGTTGCCCATGACCTTCCTTAAAACCCAGTCGCCCACTTGCCCGTGGCTATCGAGGTTGTCTCCGCGGTGGACGTCGCTGCATCGTCCTCTACTCGGATGTGCTCATTGATGCGCTGCATTAGGTGCCACATGGATGTCTGCTGGCTCATTGTAAGCGAATCCCTCAGCCTATGTCCGAGCGGGAGACCGCGCTTATATTGTGTGATTGCCAGTTTGACTGGGCAATCTAGGATCTCATTGAAGGTATCCCAGTACCTGGAGTTGTACGCCTTGAGAGTGTCGCTCGGTTCCATCCTGACACTAAGTAAATGATCGACTTCCTTTGGTGTTTTTGTGTTGGTTTTGAAGCGCGTCACAAAGGCTTCGGCCAACTGATGCCACTGTTGTATGCTCCCTTCCGGCAACCTCTCGAACCACTTCAAGCCCAGCTCACCTAAACTTGACGGGAAGATCAGGCGCATAAGTCCGTCATTTCGCCTATGTCCGGCCATAACCTGTCGGAAGTGGCTCACATGCATGTAAGGATCGGTTTTTCCGTCGTAGAGTGTGAACTTAGGCTGGTGGAAGCCTGCCGGAAGCGGTGTTGTCTCCATTTCCAGGGAAAAAGGGGTGGCACTTAACCTGGCCAAATCTGAATCCACTAGGAGTGGCGCTGCCTGGCGGGGTGGAGGCATTCCGACCTCCTCGCTGGCGTGAACCCCGTAGGATAACCGCTAGAACGCCGGTATCCTCTGGGCTTCGCGCCGGCGAGCCCGCTCCTTCAAGACCGCCCGCAAATCCTCCGAATGAGCGGAGTAAGAGTACCTCGATGTCGTCACCGAACGCGAGGGCCGGTAGGTGCTGTCTTGCGCGCTAGACTTCTCTGCATGCGCATCGGAATCACCAACCTGGTAACTTCTGGTAATAGAAATGGACGGGCCCAAATCTGTCCGGCACAACTCTGTCCGGCCCAAATCTGTCCGGCACAACTCTGTCCGGCCCAAATCTGTCCGGCACAACTCTGTCCGGCCCAAATCTGTCCGGCACAACTCTGTCCGGCCCAAATCTGTCCGGCACAACTCTGTCCGGCCCAAATCTGTCCGGCACAACTCTGTCCGGCCCAAATCTGTCCGGCACAACTCTGTCCGGCCCAAATCTGTCCGGCACAACTCTGTCCGGCCCAAATCTGTCCGGCACAACTCTGTCCGGCCCAAATCTGTCCGGCACAACTCTGTCCGGCCCAAATCTGTCCGGCACAACTCTGTCCGGCCCAAATCTGTCCGGCACAACTCTGTCCGGCCCAAATCTGTCCGGCACAACTCTGTCCGGCCCAAATCTGTCCGGCACAACTCTGTCCGGCCCAAATCTGTCCGGCACAACTCTGTCCGGCCCAAATCTGTCCGGCACAACTCTGTCCGGCCCAAATCTGTCCGGCACAACTCTGTCCGGCCCAAATCTGTCCGGCACAACTCTGTCCGGCCCAAATCTGTCCGGCACAACTCTGTCCGGCCCAAATCTGTCCGGCACAACTCTGTCCGGCCCAAATCTGTCCGGCACAACTCTGTCCGGCCCAAATCTGTCCGGCACAACTCTGTCCGGCCCAAATCTGTCCGGCACAACTCTGTCCGGCCCAAATCTGTCCGGCACAACTCTGTCCGGCCCAAATCTGTCCGGCACAACTCTGTCCGGCCCAAATCTGTCTGGCACAAAGTCCATATCATTAATCTCCCTCTCAATATATTATTATACTATTAAACATTTAAGTAATATTATGGCACGCAAGCTTTTGTGGTGTTAATTACCGCAAATATTATAATTAGATCATTCTCAATCCTTATTTTATTTTATTTTATTTAAAAAGATATAACCAAACACCGCATAAAATATAACCAAATACCTTTTGAATTATAACCAAAATAATGGTAAGAGGATCTCCATCAAAATAGTCAAATTCTTAGTTAAATTTTAACTAAAAGTCTATTTTTCTATATTGGCTAACCATTTTTTCAAATACATTCTCTCACAAACTCTCTATTCTTTATTTCATTTGTTGAGTTCTCTTTCTCTAACTACATGTAGCTAGTGATTTGATATTCAACTAAAATAGTTAGTTAATAATTAAGTTTGATGGAATGTGTTTCTACAGTTTTGTGCTATGAAATAACCAAAAGAAAACTCTAATGAGTTTGATAATAATACTCTTATAATCAATAGTTATAACTCATATTATAATAAGTCATAACCAAAGACCATGATTGAGGCATATAAAATTTTCCTAAACGATAAATTGTTTGTCAATTTTATATATGCAAACAAAGATAAAAGAGGCATTTTAAAAAATTAATTTCTTTTCCGTTAGTTGACTTACCGATTGAGTAACGAAAGGATTAAATTGTAATGAAAATTTAAACCTTAGAGAGGGAAAGGGTTAAGGAGTGGCAAGAGTGATTGGAAAGGGCTAATTGGAGACGGGTGGCCAAAATTGAAGAAGTCTATTGGAGTTAGGGTTTAGGCTAGTTTAGTAAATAAATGGGTAAATTGGTATTTTAAAAAATAAATAAATTTTGGGGTGTCCAATCAACAAAATGAGCTTTTAAGAGTTGTGTATAGTAGTATTTCCCATCTTTATTTCTAGTCAAAATTGGGTTTTGCAAATGTGTTTTTTTAAATATATTCTAAAAACATATAACATATGTAGTTGTTAAAAAATTACAATCTGTTTGGATTAGGTGATTTGATGAAAATGATAAGAAATGACGAAAAAGTAAACTTCTTTCTCATGTTTGATTTCTCTATTTAGTAATTTTTTAACTTTTTTACTAAAATATGAGTTAAAAAAATAAGTATGTTTAGGATAACTTTTTAACTTTGTATAAAAAAAAAACAAAACAAAACAAATAAATCAAGGTAAAAGTGAGAGAAAATTAGGTAGTGTTTGGTTTACTTTTCAAAATTCAACTCTATTTTTAAATCATGATTTGGATGTAACATATTAACCAAATATATTTTTAAAATACAACTCAAAATTACTTTCAAAACTCCTCTTATTCTTATTATTATGATTAATCAATCAATCAATCATTTTTTCTCTCTCATCTATCCTCTCTCCTCTCACATTTTCTCACATTCTACATATCAATCAATCAAACAAAAAAAATTACAAATCATCCCAAAACTATTTTCAAAATCATAATTAAACAAATTTTCTCTTTTAAAATTATGATTCAAAAACTCAAAACTCAAAATATAACTTCACATTCAAATCAAAATTCTAAAATTAAACCAAACGAACCCTTAATTTTTGACCTTTTTTTTTGTATAATTTGTTGGCTTTTAAAAAAAAAAAG